TAAACCCTAAACCCTAAACCTAGGCCGGTCCACGCTTACGGACCAGAGCCTCGACACCGCGCCGCGCATGACGCTCGTCGACCGAAGGCTCATCCTGGAAGTGGACGCTGGGCCCGGGAATTTAGGGGCTTAGGGTTTAGGGGTTTAGGGTTTAGGGTTTAGGGTTTAGGGTTAAGGGGTTTAGGGTTTAGGGTTTAGGTTTTAGGGTTTAGGGGTTTCGGGTTTAGGGCGGTTGGGGTTAGGGTTGGGGTTCAGGGTTTCGGATTTAGGGGTGTTCCGGTTCAAGATAGGGACTCAAATCATTACCAAATACATTTTTGTTTGGAGTGGGCGGGTGGGTTTGCAATGTTTGAATAATAAACTGGTAGTCTGTTCTACGGTTCTCAGTATTAAGGCCCCTATATCAGGGCTGTAGGGGTTGAGTTTTTTTAAATATTTAGGGTTTCGGGGTCTGGGTCTGAGACGAGAGGTTTATGAGGCGTTTGTTATGTGTGCTGTGTCCCCCCGGGGCCGTGGACACAGTCATTTTAGCCAATGCCGCAAGGACAATCGGATGGAGGAGAACATGATCTTGGATGGCGAGTTCTTCGATAGCGGCGGATGGAATCAGAAGGAGCACACTTTGAAGTCCAAGGAGGTCGGCAAGAAGAGCTCGTCAGCTTTACGGTTGTAGGGTTTAGGGTTTAGGGTCTAAAGCTTCCGTCCCCGAATAGAAGCAAAAAGTCTCGCAAGCCACAACCTCTGTCCTTTACCTTTCACTTGAGATGGTGTGTTTTCATGTCCGCCAGCACCACTCCCACAAGCAGGATCGTTCTATAGATTTGGGCATCTTTTCAGGTCACCAGAATCCCGCTACCTAGCAGAAGCAGCAATGCCATGACCCGGATCCCTTTGTTTCGGATTCCCAGACATCAGTTGAGGTGACCAGGTTGGAGTTTGCCGGCAACGACATCTTCCGGGGTATTTGTGGTCTGGTTTGGTATGTAAGCGAGAAGAGCTTAGACACCTACTTCAGCCTCGCTTCTTTGTCATGGTTAGAAAGCATTTTGCATGTTTTTGGGTTTTGAATCCAATAAGGAATAGGAATTTAGGTTTCAATAATACTACCCCAGCCATGAACTAGACTTGAGGTTTTAAGTACTTAAAAGTGTAGTTACCTTATTTATTACCCAACCCACAACCCTAAGCCCGAAACCCTAAACCCTAAACCCTAGGCCCGAAGCCCTAAACCCTAAACGCTAAACCCTAAACCCTAAACCCCAGGTTTTCGCCAACCCCATCGCCGGGAATGCCACCTTCAACGCCTGGGCGGGGCCACCGCCTGCGGAGCTCTTGCAGGAGATGTGGGCTGCTCCGGCGGCTCCTTACCCTGAGCATCAACATAGCCCAAAAGCCTTGGTTTAGGGTTTAGGGGTTTAGGGGTTTAGGGGTTTAGGGGTTTAGGGGTTTAGGGTTTAGGGTTTAGGGTTTAGGGGTCTTTGGGCCCAAAAGCCTTAACATATGGATCCTTAGAGGGTAAGGGTTAAAGGTACTTGATATATGAGTCTCAGTTTTATGGTTGCTATAAAAGACTTCTTAGTCTTTGGTTGCTACAATCCTTGTAATCCCTAAGAAACAGATAAGACAATCCTTAAAAAACAGCTAAAGTTACGGTTGCCGGTTACTTTCATCCCTAAGAAACAGGTAAGATTAGAGTTTTTTGCAAGGGTACCAAGTTCAGCATAGGTTCCGGAGAAGGGCGTGCAGGTGCCACCTGGCACCGGTTGTGCCTGGAATGTCTTGGAGCAGGGCAATGTGATCCACATCCGCCTCATCATCTTGGCCGAGCTCGTTGCTATGGATCCCTCTGCCTACCCACCCACCCCTGATGTAACGAGCCCGGTTTCTCCTGCCAAGGTGGAGGTAGAGCCGCAACAGGTGGGGGGGTGTCAGATTCTTGGGGGGTCCGGTTTTTGCTCTGGGGTCTGATTGTCTAGGGTCTTTCTCAGGATCCTCCCAGAATGCTGAACTGCGGCCTTCTTATACAAATATAGACGCTTGAATAATCACGAATATAGTTTTCCTAGGGGCTCCTTACTACAATTATATAGAAGGGCTATATAAGCCTCACAGAAATCCTGTAATTAGAAGCCCCAGCCCTCAGGTCCTTTCGGACTCCACGGCCATCGTTCCCGTCGCCCCCAGCACGGAGGACGAGGAAGCAGCGACGGGCGTGGAGAAGATCCTGAGCTCGACCCGGCCCCGGGACGTCTTCGATGGGGTCGGAAGTGGCTTGAAGGTGGGCGCAGCCCTCAACCTAAACCCGAAACCCTAAACCCTAAACACTAAACCCTAAATCCCTAAACCCTAAATCCCTAAACCCTAGGCCCTATAGACCAAACACACAAGGGGATCTCAGAGTCGGTGTAGGTTGTCAGCAATCCTCCTGTTGGAGGCTCTTAAACTCCTAGAAACGATCCTAATATAGAAGCCTAAATAATCACCAATAGTACTGTAGTTTGGGGGTTCCTTATCATAGTTATAGTATGATACACCCCAAAACCCTACTTCAATTGTTAAGGCATCTAAATTTTGTTCATGAGTCATGAAGATTTTCTGGCCCTTATAGCCTACAGGTGGCCGGCGCCGCCGTGGTCGCGGGCACTGGCGCCCTGATCGCTGCGCCGGTGCTTGGGGCCAGGGAGGAGCCTTTTGCTAATATAGGTGTGGTTTAGGGTTTAGGGTTTAGGGTAATACAGATGTCGGAAGAACTAGTAACCGCATGCCCTTACATGAAGTCTCCTGAAGTAACAGTATCCGTAAATTAGAGTCCCCTTAATTATGACCATAATTTTATATCGCCCCCAAGCCCTATTTTTTAGTTATTAACCCTAAACCCTAAACCCTAAACCCTAAACCCTAAACCCTAAACCCTAAACCCTAAACCCTAAACCCTAAACCCTAAACCCAACCCTAAACCCTTGAACCCCAAACCTCAATCTGTCAAGAATCCTAACTAGGCCCAAAGATGGACGCCTTTTTGGACGTCGATCCTCTATAATCTCTACGACTATCCCATAATCATAGCCCATCTTGCTAATCCTGGCTACTAGTCGATAGAGCATGCAAATGAACCCCAGGCCCTTATGCCAAAAGCTCAATTAATGTAGGGCTCGAATAAACTTAAATAGTATGCCCTTAAAATATGACTCGCATAACCTAGCCTACGCCCAACACCTAGTTCCAAGTATTCAGGCCCTGGTCTTATGCCTTCAAAACAGGAGGGCGTGAGCGGCTTTTTCAAGGGTCTTGCCACTGGTGCCTTTGGCGCCATTGCCGTGACCTTGACGGGTGCCGTGGCCGGTGCCACGCAGATTGCTCGGGGGGTCTACAACACCCCAGAGGCCGCGGCTGTTGTGTAGGGTTGTGGGGTTTACTCTAGTATAGTAATGTATAGTATACATAGGGGCTAGAAGGGAATTGGGGTTGATGTAGGAGTATAGGAGGAGGGGTATCTTCTCATTTTTTGCTTGTAGGGACGATTATAGGAGTGTCTTAAGCATTTAGCATCGGAGATTTCATGTTGTTGATTGGGGTTTGACGGTATATTGTATAGTAGTTTAGCGTCTGGGGATTCAGGGCTCAAACGGCTTCGGCCGTTGGATTAGCGTTCAGGAAGGCTTGTGATCACAAGAGAGCAAAAGACCACAGACATGCAAAGGTGTTAGGGTGTAGGGTTGTTGGAACCCCCTTTCTACAGATGTGGGTCCCTAGACCTTATAAGCTGCTTGCGCTGGTGTGGCCTTTCGGATCAGGAGCATGGGCGACACAGGTTTTAAGATTTCACGGTGCAGGCTTTACCGGCTCTTTGGGGGGAGCGTGATTCAACAAGTTCTGGAGCGTCAAACCAGTGGATTTTGCATTGACTTCGGTGTCCCAGACCGATGCATGCTGCAGTAGCCGCGGACAACCTGTGCGCGCTTGCCGGGCCCCCCGCACGTCCGCACGGAGATCTAGACACCTCTGCGGAATAACAGCCTCAGTGCAGCCTCTAGAGAACAAGACCCCTGTTTAAGCCTACAGTTGAAGCATTCCGGGGAATAACCCTCGTTGCTAACACTTTTGTTGAGAAACTCGGGTCTCTGCGACCCTAACCCTAAAGCCGCTCTTTGCGGAGCGAAAGGTCCGCCACAAAGGGTTTGGGGGTTTTGGGCTTTGGAGGTTTAGGGGTTAGGGTTGGACGCAAGCTCTAAAACAGAACTAGAAGCTTCTCTACGCTCTAAACCCTAAACCCGAAGGCCCCAATGCCCTAATGTGCAGACTCAAACAATTACCTATACTATTTTGGGGGTTCCTTATTCTAGTTCTAGTGAAATTTACTCCAAAACCCTATTCTAATTATGAAGGCCCTTACATGAAGCCCCACTTAATGTTATAATTATTAAGGCCCCTACATTAAGCCCCAAACCCTAAACCCTAAACCCTAAACCCCGAAACCCCTAAACCCCTGAAAGCTTGTGAGGCTCTCCAGATGAGTCTCCAGGCGAACAAGCGCTGGGATGCGGAGCAGGGCCTTTGGGTGGATGACTGCTGCAATTTGCGGCCCGACTCCTTCGGACTTGAAGCTGAGTTTAGGGGTTTAGGGCCTTTGGGGGGTTTGGAGTTTTTGGGGTTTAGGAGTTTAGGGGTTTAGGGGGTTTAGGGTTTTGGGTTTTAGAATTTAGAGAGTTTAAGGCCTTTAGGGCCTGTAGGAGGTTGGGTTTAGGGCCTTTAGGGTTTAGGGTTCTGGGGGTTTGATGTTTAGAGGGTTTAGGGCCTTTAGCGTTCAGGGGGTTTAGGGTTTTGGGGGTTGGGGGTTTGGGTTTAGGGTTTTGCGGGTTTTGGGGGTTTGGGGGGTTTCGGGTTTTGGGGGTTTAGGGACTTTAGGGTTTAGGGTTTTGGGGGTTTTGGGTTTTGGGTTTTTTTTTGGGTTTAGGGTTTTGGGGGTTTAGGGTTTTGGGTTCAGAGTTTATGGGGCTTGCAGGGCTTACTATAGGAGCCTGACTCAGAAATCTTGGGTCTTTATTAGGGTTCTTTGTATGGATATCGAGATATTGAAGTTTGGCTTATAGGGTTGAGATTTTTGGGTTTCAGGGTTGAGACCCCCAAACCCTAACCCTAAACTCTAGACATAACTCCTTGCATGCCGTAAACCCATTGTTGGGACCCTGAAGCCTACTGGGTTCTTGTTAAAGGATTTAACTTAAGTTACAATAATAATAATGATAGTACTAATAATGATAAGGAAAGCATACTATTTGCTATAGACCCTAAACCCGAAACCCTAAACCCTAAACCCTAAACCCTAAACCCTATTATGGTAACTTAACTTAAACTCCTTAACAAGAACCCAACCCAGACCAAACACCCTAAGCATGGAACCCCCAGGCCTCAGAAACCCTTAGCCTGAAATTAGGGTTTAGGGTTTAGGGTTTAGGGTTTAGGGTTTAGGGTTTAGGGTTTAGGGTTTAGGGTTTAGGGTTTAGGGACCCTAGAACCCTAGAGCCCTCAACCCCCTAACCCTAGAACCCTAAGGCCTAAGGCCCTAAACCTTGAAACCCAAAGCTCTGAACCCTAAACCCTAAACCCTAAACCCTAGAACCCTCATCCTAGATCCCTAAGAACCTAAACCTAGAAACCTAAAGCAGTGAACCAACCCTAGGACCCCCGACGTAAGCCTCAGAGCCCTAAGGCTTAATACTAAAACCCTAAAGCCTTAAGCTCTGACCCTAAACCCCTAAACCCCTACCTTGGCACCAAGGAACCTACCCTTTTAAGGACTTATATGAAGAAGCTATAATAAGGAACCCTAAAAGGGTAGGTTGTTTGGGGTCCAGGTAAGCCCTGAAAACCCCTAAACCCTAAACCCTTAACCCTAAACCCGAAACCCTAAACCCTTAATGCTTGAAGCCCTCAGCCTTGAACTCAAAGCCAAAGTTCCAAAGGCGGAAGGAAGCCGCTGAGGCTGAGGCCATGGGGGACGAGAGCCTCGGCTGCAGCGAGGGTCGTTTTTAAGCTTTTTGCATGGGGGGAGGGTGTCGGGTTTAGGGCTTGGGGAGCTTCAGAGCTTAGTGTTTAGGATTTTAGGGTTTGGAGATTTTTAGATCTCGGGTTTAAGCTTTGGGGTGCTAGTAATCCCTAAACCCTAAACCCTAAACCCTAAACCCTAAACCCTAACCAAAACGTCACCTTGACTCCCCGTTTACGAAGCTGGGCACAGTAAGGAGCTCGGACGACGAGCTGCCGGACGACGGCCGACCAGCTCGCAAGGCTCCATTGTAGTCGATGTTATAGGGTTTAGGGTTTAGGGTTTAGGGTTTGATGTTATGTGTTTTTTTAATTTCATGCAGATATAAAAGATGGATAAGTAAATTTAAAAAATACCTATCTTCTTTTATTTCATGCGAAAATAGATAGATAGATAAGCAAAACTACAAAATACTTACATATATATAAATCTCCAATTTTCACGGCTTATCATGTTTATTGCGTTTCGGTGACAAGGTTTCATTGGCTGTTGTCTTTTTGAGGGCGGGAGGTGTGGGGCTTTAAGGCTTGTGTATTGAAGGGTTTAGGGTTCGAATGCTAAGCTGCACTCTAAACCCCTGAACCTCTAAACCCGGAAACCCGCAGCCCTAAACCCCTAAATCCCCACAGGGTTTGAGCCCTCAACCCGCAAACCCTGCACCATGAACCCCTACAGCCCTAAACCACAAACCTGCAAAACCCCAAAACCCTTCACTCCTAGACCCTCAAACCCTCAAGCCCTACACCATGCGAGCTAAAACTAAACTGCTTTCAGGTGAACCCTAAGACCCTAAAACCCTGAACCCTACACCCTAAAACCCTAAACCCTGAATTTCAGGTGGCGGACACAAGCTTCTATGACATTCTGGAGGTCAAGCCCAATGCGACTGCAGCAGAGATCAAGAAGAATTACTACAAGGCCGCTGACCGGTAGGGCCCCATGTATGTATGTTAGGGTTTAGGGTTTGGGGTTTAGGGTGTCTGTATGTATGTATGTATGTATGTATGTATGTATGTATGTATGTATGTATGTAGTTTATTTACTGGTATGTATGTACATACATACGTACATGCATGCATACATACATACATACATAGATGCATACATAGATGCATGCATTCATACATAGATACATAGATACCTAGATACATGCATACATACATACATAGAT